TGTCTAGTATGGACAGCAGTTTGTCCAGGGAATGTGATCCGAGTAAAGTTAACACGAAAAACAGACAAAATACTAACTATTTTATATTAAATTGCAAACTAATGCAAGCTATTGAATCAAACTTGAGATTTTTCCAAGTACCACTTTCATACAGTTCTTGATTAAATGTACTTAGTTACACTCCACGCCTGGGTATTTTAAATTTTGCCACTCAGATTTAAATTACTACTGCAAATATATATCTATGCCAAATATCTGTTATCGGTTTCATTGATTACTAATAATCAGTATCTGTATCAGCCCTAGAAAAGCATATTTATCAAACCTTAAATTATACTAGGTGAGTATTTTTTTATTTATTTCCCCTGAAGAGATAACATCTGTAGGAATATCATTTTATCACTTTGTTTAATCCGTTTCAGTTGTTTTGGGTTTACACTTAGGTGATAGTGACCCTAGTAACCCTAACCCTAGCATAATAGGAACTGCATGTTAGTGTAGTCAGCGGGCCAACTATGGTTTTAATTTTAAAATGACCCATAAGCTGTGACCAGACTTAAGAGACACGGTGAAAGTATTTCTAAAAGATACAGGTTTGCACTACCCCTGCTGTCAACGTTTGTCTAATCTCAGTGACACCTTTGCCAGACATGCTTATAAGAGCATTTTCAATGTGTTCTCTTCTTTCCAGTGCCATGTCTCTGGTTTTCCCACGACCCAACACCAACGCAGTCCACAGCAAGAAGGATAAGAGACTGATGGCGGAAGTGAACGCATCACCGCTCAAGCACTTTGTTACAGCAAAGAAGAAGATCAACGGGATCTTTGAACAGCTGGGGGCCTACATCAGGGAGAGCGCAACTTTTCTGGAAGGTACCCTCCCGCTTGCCATTTGCTCCCCCTCCCCTTTATGATACTCTGAAGGCAACCTAATATGTACACCCTGGTCACTTTTACATAAGTCACATCTTAAGTTGTTGGACATATGGACCGCCAAATTTAAGGGCATGGTGGCCCGTGGGGCCAGTGCTTAAATTGCAGTGCAGAAATTAGCGTCTATCCCTGGAGTGGGTCCCTGTTTTGTTCTTATCTTGTGAACACACACAAGAACATGCCTGCACAGGAGAATACTCTGTTGTGCAGTATATATTCTTGATAGTGATTTTACCATGTTTCCTTCCACCTGTTTTTAATGTCTTTCCAAGCACTTTCTGCTCTTGAAACGTGTCATAACTTATTTACCTACTCCACTGATCAGCAACATCAAGAAACATCAATGCACTAGCAAAGGCAGGGATGTGGAAGACTGGTAACAGGAATGACTGACCTCTGTCTGATGACATCTAAATGTTAGATACTTACAAAAATGATGAGCTGGACCCGGTCACCACAGAGGAGCAGGTCCAGGAGGTCCGGGGTTACCTAGCCAAGGTGGCAGGGATTGGAGAAGTGCTCGCCCGCAGGCATATGAAGGTGGTCTTCTTTGGCAGGTGTGTGTCTTTTTTTCTTACTCTCTCTCTAGCCTTAGAACTTCTGGAATCAATATTCAATCAAAATGACTTGACTTGTTTTTTTAATTTTCTGTTTATTAAATTAGTCTAAAATCCAATTCTGTGTAGATGTAAACACCAGCAAATGTTAATGTTGACCTGAAACTAGAGGATTAAACATCAGCCAAACGTCAAACTTAGAAGACTGCAGGTTAGATGGGCTGAGGCACTGCTGAAAGGCCTGTGGTTATTTTTGTAGGACAAGTAACGGGAAGAGCTCAGTGATCAATGCCATGCTGTGTGACAAGGTGCTGCCGTCTGGAATAGGACACACCACCAACTGCTTCCTGAGAGTGGAAGGCACCGATGGCAATGAGGCCTTCCTCCTCACTGAAGGTTCTGAGGAGAGGAAAAGCATAAAGGTGAGCAGAATTCACTGAGTGCCTTTACATGAACACAGGTATGCTTTCAGCACAGTGGAATCTTTGAGTTTGTAAACCCAGCTAATGCTGATGCTGTGTGTGTTTACAGACGGTGAACCAGCTGGCTCATGCTCTTCACCAGGATGAGGACCTGGATGCCGGCAGTTTGGTCTGTGTCATGTGGCCTAAAGCCAAATGTGCTCTGCTTAGAGACGATCTGGTGTTGGTGGACAGGTCAGACACAAGTTTGATCAACAATTTCATTTCCATCACTTTTTGTCACATCAACTTTTTTGTGACAAAAGGCAAAATAAATGATTCTTACTAAGCTGCCGTGTGTACTATTATTGCACTCTTATTATGCTAACAATAAAGAAGGACTTTGTTATTACTAAGGCAATAATTAATAATTGCAAAATTGAACTTGAAATTGAACAACATATTAAATGTTAACGGTCTAAAGTATACTTAGTTCATTTAAATTCAAAACATAATTTAAATTAGCAGTCAACATATACTAGCTAGCAGTAGGCTGCCTGTTGCCAGAGCCATGTAGAGTGAGAGTTGCTGTAATGTTAACTAGTGATGGCACACATGTGCTGATCCCTCTGTATCTTGTAAGGTCTGCCCCAGAGGGCAACTACTTCAATATAAGGTTGTAGCACAGAAACAAAGCACCAATATTTGCGCTGTGATTTAATCTGGTAGATAGCAGTCGTATAGGAACCAGTATTGAAAGTGGTAAGACTGAATTGAAGAAATACAGATATCCCTTATCTTTGTAAAAGAAGATTTTATTCCAGTCTCTTGCATCACAGTCCTCACTTGCTGTGGACTGCAGTCAGCTCATTCTACATCCTGTTTTGCCCTCCAGCCCAGGCATTGACGTTACCACAGAACTGGACAGCTGGATCGACAAGTTCTGCCTTGATGCTGATGTGTTTGTTCTGGTGGCCAACTCCGAGTCCACGCTGATGCAGACGGTGAGACATGATGGAACGAATGCTCTGTGAAGAATCTTACCAACTGTGTCAGTCAGCTCTAGAACTGTGTGAACTGTTATTTGAAGATGATAAAAGCGGAATAACCTTTAGGACTGCTACAGTAAATGTCAATGTGGTGCTAATATTTTAAATGTATCTCTATACAGGAAAAGTCCTTCTTTCACAAGGTCAATGAGCGGCTCTCCAGTCCCAACATCTTCATCCTCAACAACCGCTGGGACGCCTCAGC